GCGCGGAGAGCGCTAGAGAAGTACGAGTAGAGAGAGCATAGCAGATCAAGTTGCGACGCAGACAAGATATCGAGCGGTGGGCGGAGCGTGTCGCAACAGGTGGAGCGTGTCAAAGTTCTTAGCGCCTAGCGTCTAAGTAACGCTTTTCGAAGTAGGGAAGTGACGCGACCTCTGCACTTGCGTACCTAGCGCTTCTAGCCACCGTAAAGGCTCATTAAGTGGGTCTGAGCCCGAACTTTGCCTTTAAGGCGAATTTACCTAAAGAGCGCAGAAAAGTCAATCTGGGGCCGTATGCTGAATGTTGGGAAGGGGACGGGGATGGGTAAATGTTGGGGAGGTTCGTCGCAGGACCCACTGGGCAACGGCCGCACCTTTGATTTTGGGTCCTGCGACGAACCTCCCCAACATTTATCCATCCCCGCCCCTTCCCAACATTCAGCACAAGGCCCCGGAGAGGTTATAGCTAAGCATCCAACACAACAAAAAATATATGCTGCAAGGATTAATAGTAGTGCGCGGGTGTTGTTCGCTAGGACAGGAAGGAAAATTTCTGTTCTTCGCAGCGCGAATACTTTTTTGCTGCGGGAACCCCAGGTCCACTCATCATCAGTGGTGGACCTGGGGTTCTCGTAGCGACGATGCGAAAAGTGGAAAATGTCACATTCTGTCCTAGCGAACTACATCAATAGTCCGCTTGTAATAAAACAAAGTGAATTATGCTCATAACAGCGTATTCGCCACAATATCGGTTGCAGATCACTATAAGAGCGCCAACTTGACTTTTATTATGCGATTTCCTATGAGAACAAGTTTTGGAGAGCATTCCAAATTTACGCTAGATTCAAAATAAAAAATTATAAGTGCAACCTGATTAGAATGTGCGCCGCAGCGCGTAAAGCGGCACATGCAACAGGAGTTTCCGCAGTGAATGCAGCCGTGAGGGCTGATCGACAAGCGCTCTCTGCTTCAGACCATACGGTAGACGCATCAGTCTAAAATCACCGCTGCTTTTGTGTCGTGTCAAAAAGTAGAGTTTGTCAAGCCTGTCAACACTATGATATGGCTATGATGAATCAAATCAATGTCAGGGAACATCAGTTGTATTTCTACTGTGAATAAAATAAGCACCACCAGTATAGTAGAGAATTACCTGACACATCTGTTGCAGAGCTATTGCCATTGCATGCCTCACCCGTGGCTTTGAGCAGCTTTCTACATCTGAACAAAGTACTCGTCAACAGATGAAGACGAGAGTAAAAATCACCGAACTACCAGTTGACCCTAATTTTGGGGTCCAAATTTTTCTCCAGGCTAGAACTTGGAACGATACCCTTAAAATCTACTTGAGTTCAACAATATAGTTCCTTTACTTTCAGAACATGTTCACTTTTACACACACATACATTACATATATGTAGACCTTCCTTAGGGCAATCTCGGCTGAATAGACAAAAAACTACCTCCTTCCCCTGGAGAACAATAGGATACGGTCCCAGAAAGTGTTTTGCCAACGCAACAGTGGGTTCAGTGCTTTAGTATTTGCAGTTATATATTTATCTAGTCTAACTGACCTCGGAATATATTCTTCGAGCAGAATTCCTTCGTCCTTATCGCCAGCTCTCCATACAGAGCTCCGCTGCACACAGTTAGTGATGTATCGAGCTCAGTTGGAGTATCCAAAGGCACCTTAATAGCCTTTCCATAAAAATCGGATGAAAACAAAGTGCATAAGTATCAAAACATACCGTGTATTGGAGTTCGCACACTCGATAGCCTTCTTGTATGGTTGCCTCAGACAACGGATTTGCAATTTTGCCAACAAGCGCTCGAGCAGCAACAAACGTAGTCTCTCTTAAATGATCATTCGATGATAAGATATCACTGAGCAGTGAAAAAAGTACCAGCTGCTACCACATGGGTGGACCATGACTCGTACAAAGGATAAAAAATCGCCATGCCTCCGCACAGCAGAGTTTGACCTTTCCTCACTGGGACTGCGACAAAAAGTATTACTTTGCACAATACAATGTACAGGGTGCACCAAGGAAGGAATTTAGCAAGATCAACCCCTTATCCTTCTATCATTCTATATGCCCTCGTAATACTTATGGCCATCTGAATTAGAAAAGTCGAAAATACTCTGCGAATCAATGAAGAGCTCTTCCCCCCCACTCACACAGTATATACATTCAAACAGATTTTCTGAAAAATAATTACGCTTCTTGAGGGTATGCTGCTAAAACCTATCACTTCAACCGTATACCAGTTGTTAAATGAACCACAATTAATTCCACTTACAGAAGAGCTTGGTCTTGTGAATGGGCTAGCATTTTCAGGATTTCAGTGACAAGTGGCTCTGGTTTCAGATGAATGCGTAACAGGCGTGCAAGAGCTCCTGAAAAAAGCATCAGATCTATGTATTAAGATGAGCGATGCAGCAACGTTGACAAATTTCTACCTCCGGCAACCTAGTCGCACAGGTCGCGAAGTTGGATCCTGCAAGGCTTTGAGGAACGTAGACTGTAGTTGGGGGAAGGAACGGACGAAGTAATGTGTCGACCTTTAAAGAAAATAGAACGATCATTCTCATAATTTCTCTGCCAGTATTCAAAAAAGTATCAAAAAAGCAATTACAGCAATGTAATGAAATGGGAACCTTGTCAAGCAGTTTGCTCAGCGTTTCAAGCACTGCTAACTTGACATTTGGAGGATAACGATCTCCGAGCACTCGAACTAATGGACCGGTGATGTTGACTACATGAGCTTTGAGGGCAGATACATCAGACACAGAAACCATCTGGCCAAGAGCTTCTCCAGCCAGTGCCTTCAGTTCGACTCCACCTAAAGAATGCTTTATATCTTCAGAAACAATAACATAAACTACGGAAATGGAGGCACTACCTGCGAGAACAATGTGTCGAGGGAATTTTGGCCAATACCTGTCCCTGCCCCGAAAAGGACCCCTTACTCATTCTCCATCATTACCTTCCATTACGCGCTCTCCCACATTTCAGCGGCCAACGATGTGCATGTGCCGATAACTACTACGTAATACATGGCACACTTAAAACTC